ATAAATATATATTGCATAAGCATTTGAACGAATTAATGTAGTTTGTATGCACTTTGGATGAGCGTTACAACAGCACAGTAATGTTTTAACAAACTCTTTTGCTTCAACTCTAAAATTAATCGTATCAAGTTTTTTAAAAGGACAAATTGTAAATACTTTGATATTTTAATGAAATTCATGGTTCACTCTGTCCCTACCTATTATTTTCACCAAATCATCATTGATAGATTTTAAATTGTTTGCTCCATTTATTCTCATATAGTAAAAAATTGAACATCATCAATATTGCGCAATTTCTTTATGTAAACAAGCAAATTCAGGAAGCATTTTAAGTAATGGCTGTAGAGAAGTCGGTTTAAGTTCCGTTCATGTTATTTATTAATTAACATATTAAACAAAACAGTCATTTAAATGTTGTCTGCATAAAAAGGCAAACCAATGTTACAGACTAACATCTATCATATTTCTGCCTCATGCATATTAGGGAGGGGCGACATACATTATCTCCATATATTATAAAAGCATCATAAGATAAGAAGGGTTAATAAAAATGTGTATTATCATTGCTTATAAATATTAAGCTGATGCATGAATGGTGCTTTCTAACAACATAGCCCAATTTCCACAAGAAAGACTAGTCTTCATAGTTTGACTTTAAGATCCAACGATTTTTAGCTCGACTTTTCGCAGAATAATCGAGCTAATGCAGTCACCCATTTGTCGGCGTCCCTGTGGTTAACTTTTTGCGTGTAAGCTGGTATCTCCATACCTGCTGAAGGGAATGGATTGAAACTTCATACACTTGTTCTCTGTGATTATTTAACATGATTGGCACAAGACCCATAACTTTGATTTACCTTTTTGCATAATAATGCCCCTTTTTCGACTTAGCAATTCTTGGTTAAGTTTGTGTGTGTAAGCTGGTATCTGCATAACTACAGAAGGTAATGGATTGAAACTTCACACACTTGTTCTCTGTGATTATCGAACATGATTGGCATAAATCCCATAACTTTGATTTGCTTTTTTCGCATAATTATGCCCCTTTTTCGACTTGGAAATCCTTGGATAAGTTTTTGCGTGTAAGCTGGTATCTCTTAACTACTGAAGGGAATGGATTGAAACTTCACACACTTGTTCTCTGTGATTATCTAACCTGATTGGCACAATTCCCATAACTCTGATTTGCTTATTTTGATAATAATACCCCTTTTTCGACTTAGAAATTGTTGGTTAAGTTTTTGCGTGTAAGCTGGTATCTCTATAACTACTGAAGGGAATGGGTTGAAACTTCACAAACCTGTTTTTCTGTGATTATGTAATATGATTCGCACAAGTCCCATAACTCTTATTTGCATTGTTGCAAAATTATGCCCCCTTTTCGACTTATAAATTCTTGGTTAAGTTTTTTGCGTGTAAGCTGGTATCTCTATAACTGCTGAAGGGAATGGATTGAAACTTCACACACTTGATCTCTGTGATGATTTTACATGATTGGCACAAGTCCTTTAATTCTGATTTGCTTTTTGGCATAATTATGCCCCTTTTTCGACTAACAAATCATTGGTTAGGTTTTGCGTGTAAGCTGGTCTCCATAACTACTGAAAAGAATGGATTAAAACTTCACACACTTGTTCTCTGTGATTATCTTACATGTTTGGCACAAGTCCCATAAATCTTGATTTTCTTTCATAATTATGCCCCATTTTCGGCTTAGAAATTTTTGGTAAAGGTTTTGCTTGTAAGCTGGTATCTCAATAACTACTGAAGGGTTTGTGCCTTTTTTGGAACAATTTTATGCATTCATAATAATAAAGCAGTAATTTACTCGAAAGAACATCTTAATAACAAGTCTTTGTACCTTTTCGGATAATTTTATGTATTCATATAGGTAAGAATTATTATACTCGATGAAACACCCTTGTGACAACTTTTCGAATAGTCGAGCGTTACTGTTCTCAAACAGTTCTTGTTTAAATTTGGGTGCAAAAGACCAGCGCAGTTGAGCCAGAAAAAAACTGAAACTGTATGCATTTCTTTCAGGAGCTGTTGTGCTTCATTATCAGAAACTGATTCAATGAATTGTTGTTTTCTCCCTCTGAGAGTAAATACTGAATCATCGATTAAGATTTAATACGTCCGCAATGACCAGTCGATGTTCTACCATCAAGTGACCCGTAAATTATATATGTTAGGTTCTAAAATGTTATCGTCCGTTTGGTATTTTCAAGGTTTTGGCAAATAGTCACACGTTTACTTCGTCCCTCAAAATTTGAACAGCTACCAATATCCTTTTATGGGTGTGGTGAAAGTTACATGAAACGAATGGCTAAAAATTAGGAGGAGTGAACTATAAGGCGGCTTTAGGTCACATATTAGAATTTTATTTAAAAAAGTGCAGCGATCAATTACTTTCCATTGCAATTTATATATTATCGAATATACGAACTATACCCTATACTTAGCGGATGATGAATATAAAGATAAGAAACACAGTTTTATTATTTTATTGTAAACTTAAGCTATAGATAGATTATCTTATGTTCCAATACAACAGAATATATAAAAAATGTCATATATATAAATATCTATAGTATATATCAAAAGATACATACATAAACACTATTCTTAACTAAGCTACTAACATGTCCTGTCTGGTCTACCATAATCCTTTAGAAAAAATCATTCTGATAATTTCATTAGCCAATAGCGGCATTGAATTCCTATTAAAATGTTACTCCAACGCTAATACGATTTTGACATGACATAATATTTGAGTTATATATACAAGATATCAAAAATAAATAAATTCAATATCGTATGAAGTTTCACCGAAACAATTCTTAAATTTAATCTATTTAATAAGCAACACCCTCTCAACATCTTGCTCAAACATGTGTTACAACTTGAGTACTGCTCAAGCCGGTGCTAGGGGGCGTGAGGGATGTTGCACGTATTCATTATCTCTCATGTACAGACTCAATCAAACCGAGTCTGCAATTCTTATGTAATTTTGTTGCGATTAATGCTTCCGATGGATCACTTTGTTTCTAGATTTTTTTACTTCGCAACAGCAGGTGTCAAGTGCTGTGTGGCAGCTGTAAAAAGTTGCCCCGTACTTCACTTCAGTGTTGTTATATTTTCTGGTCCATCGGGATCATTGATTCCAGCACTATTAAGTGTTGAGAATTGAGTACCACTCAAGCCGGTGCTAGCGGGCGTGAGGGATGTTGCACGTATTCATTATCTCTCATGTACAGACTCAATCAAACCGAGTCTGCAATTCTTATGTTATTTTGTTGTGATTAATGCTTCCGAGGAATCACTTTGTTTCCAGAATTTTTTACAACTTCATAAGTGTGTATAAATTGAGTAAACCTACTAGCATAGCAAAGAATTAAATACAAGTTGTGTCAATTTTGACCAATCTAGACGTAGTATTTACCTGAGCCATTTATATCATTGAATTCCTTTCATTTGTAAATTTGGAAATAGTGCCGTCAATGAAAAATCGCTTTTTACGTGCAGTTTTTCCAATTTTCCAAACAGATTTAAAATAACTAAAATAACTAGACAACACCGCAGTCGGATGTTAATTAATAATTAATCATGCAAAAGTTAAAAAGCAGTATGTACATGCAAAAACAACATTCAATTTTTAGAATTATGTAGAAATAATTCATTATCACTAGAACGAGACAATACATTTATTACTTGATGTGTAGTTATGTCCAACGCTGACAACATATATAGAAAGCTAAGTTACATTAGCTAATTTACAGGTTAATCGTACGTATACAAGAACATAATGTATAAAGTAATACATTGATAACTTTTTGGAAAATTGTGATCGTACAATGACATACAACATCTTATCAGTTTAAGCTAAGTTTTAAGCGTTTAAGTGTTTAAGTATGACTAATTCCCATGCCTTAAAAGGATTATTCAAATATTTACCTAAAGCAGAGCTAAAAATATATACACCTAATATTGGTGACTGCGTTCAATGAACATTTGTGTCGCCTTAAGATCTTTGCTTTCATTAATGTGCATTTGATTAACATTGAGAATCTGATTATATATATGGATAAAAGTAAGTTCAAATAGATATCGTATTTAAAAGTCGCGATTAATTACTTCTTACACTACTTTCCGTCCTGTCGACTCCCGCCAAAAATAGAATGTAGGAAAATGAAAGGGCTACACACATATTTATCAAGGCAGATACCTTTGGTTCAAAAGAAAGTGAACATATTTTATTTAAAAACATGGATGTATGCTGTATTTTAATAATTTAATCGACTTCAAACGAAACAATTATATGAAATGGTTATACCATTATAGAAGACTTACGATTTGTCCGATTTGTCAGCAGAATATGTTAAACAAACACATTTTAATGCACATTTTTATTTCATTAATACCTAGTTATCGTCATATTGAACAATCAGATACTTTTAAAATTAAAAAACGTGTTCTTTATTGAGTTATGTTCATAACTTTATTAAACAAACTAAATAAATAAAACTTTTACAAGTAGTAAAATACGTGCATGAATACACAAATCAAAAATCAAAACAATTTAGAAATTAGATAAAAAAATTAATTTCTTAGTCTTGGATTTTGATCTTAGTATTGGATTCTGATACATTTGACCCTTAGTAAAAATAAAATTTTACTTCCAAAACAAAATGTGAACGATATGGGTAACTGTTAAACAAGCTATTGAGATCCCGATGCCGCTCATAGAAATTATTCGGAGCGCTTTGGATGCTGCATCTGCCTAGAAACGTAAGAATTAATGTGTTATACAATACATTGCTTAATTACGTTCCGTGTCTGTTTTTAACAGTTATCTAGAATAATCAAAGTAAACTTAAATCAATACAAAGATTTAAATGTGTCCTACTTAATAATTGAGCAACTTTCTTATAAATGCTTGAGATGCATAAATCTCATGATGTTTAGTTACCATATCTTTTTTTATTATAACTGGTTAAACCATTTGCATGATATCAGGCAACAAAATTATATGTCATGAACATAAGTGGATAAAACAAGTTGAAAAATTTAAATACACACAAACATATCTTCAAAGAAGGGCTCATCAAAACAGCAAAGTTCGTCAGATGATCACACAGACAGATTGTGTAGTTAGTATTTGTAGTTTTTACAATACAGCCCTCTGAAGACCAAAGGCCCTGTCCAATGTTACCACTTTAAAACATATTAACATTATGATATAAAAAAAGAAAACTTCAGCAAATTTCAATCATAACAGAAAAACATAAAACATTTGACAAGTTTGTACCTTGAATTTTGAATTCCAAATGCTAACGATTTCTTACCGCCCTAGCACCTGCTTGAAGTAAATAAATTGGTTATCTCCAAAACATTTAATAATATCGACACAAAAGTCAATCATAAAACTAAATTTAATTTGTTAAACAATTCATGTGATATATTGTATACATTCATATCAAAGCTTACTTACTTTGGAAATGCCCAATACGAACACAATGGATTGGAGAAATTAGTCTGTAATATAAGACAGGACGATCTGTTTTAAAATTTGAATTGAACAAGCGTTTGATATACATATATATAATTGAATGGTCAAAGACAGAATTAACATCAGTTTTGACAGCCTAGAAGTAAAGGTTAACAGCATTTTGCAGGATGATAACAAATGAACAATGGCTAGAATATTAACCATGAATTGAGTCTATTAATAAATGCATAGCATTGAAAAGACTTAACGTGTCATACATGTTGAATGTTACTAGATGTTTAATAATAGCCAAAGTCTTAATAAACACTAATTATATAAATGCTTAAGTATTGAATTGACAAAAATGACCCAATTTGATATCCAGAAAATATTTCAGTATAAATTACTTGTAAATTATGTATATTAAAGATACAGAAAAGAGTTAACACATAAAGCATATTGTTTTTGAATGAAAGAAGAATACAACATTTACATTGACTTAAACTGTTATTGTAATAATGTGTTTCGTTTTTCAATTGATGAGAATTAATTATCAAGCAAATTACATCAACTTAAAGTATAACTCAAAAACATTGCCGTTGCAAGTATGACCTCTTTAACACCTCTCATGTAAGACAAGTCGCGTGCTTAAAATGACGTCATTCCCACGTACCATTTTTAAATGAATAACGTTCTTAGGATGACGTTAATTTGCCGTTATGAATGAAGTTGTAAATCTATATGTTATAATAAGAAAAAGTGAGAAATTAATGTGAGTTTTCTTAAATAATTTCTTTCTGAAATATGACAGATATTTCGGAAGCCTGTGTAAGATCCTAATTTTATACAGTACTGCTTTTAGATGCGCCTTGTATATAACCATTATCCGTGTCGATAGAATTCTTTACAGCAAGAAATATTGTTTATAATCTAGTGATTTACAGTTTTTCTAATTTCATAGACTTTAACGTTCTTACCATGTCATGAGTAAAATTTAATTGGAGTGGTGGGTTCAATTTATCCGACAGTGGTGGTGAAATTGTCAACGAAAGAATGGGTGCATTTATAACATCATCAGTATCCTCCTCACTGAAACAAAACAAATATTGGATTCATAAATTAATTTCGAACATACAACATATATATTAAAACATGTATTCATGTTAAATATATACTGATAGAAAATGGTACTGGAAACAGAAAAATTTAAGATTACAATACGATATGAAATTGAAATCTTATTTTTAAAACAAACAAAACGCAAGAGTCATTTTACCATAAGTTATTCGAAAACGGGTATAATCAACTCATGGTCATTCCGAATTATGTAAATAAATCTTTCTAAATGTTCCGATATTATACAATGAAGTATGTGAAAAAAGGAAGCCTTTACTTGTTATTTGTATTGTTCCGTTTGTTTGGCAATATTTTCGACAAATCTCTATACATGACGGCTGCTGTAGCGTATTGTACTGATTTATCTGAAATAGAGTAGAATGTGCTGTTAAATATTTTTAAGGTTTATAATACTAAATTTTTAAAACGAAATAAAAATATTTAAAAGAATGCACTGTCAATGTCTACAGAAGCGGTCTATCGTTATTTTGAAAAGGAAAATCTTATTAAAAGAACGTCAATCAAACACTATTCAATCATTAAATTATGTGACGAAACAAATAGTTAACTTATTAATGTATGCAGTTTATAAGTAGCCTGAGATAATACTTTTCAAAGCGGCTGCTTCTAGGCGTAAACTGCTCCTGGCCTGCTTAAACCAGTCGGCGTTGGCATCATCTTTGTCTGACACTGTTTTTTCTGGATCCGGAAATAAAACATCTTTGTTCGAAAACTTTTTCACATCAATCGCTGTAAATGTACAAAAAGTATGTTATATACATACTTTTGAAAATGATTTTCAATTAACACAAAATGGTAAGTACGATATTGTGCCTGGCGGTTTGTGGCCACATATAGAACTGTTTTAATTCACGGTTTCGATGATAACCGGAAAAATGTCTTGAGTAAAATAAGAGAATTTTAAATGCATCCAAAAGCAAAAAATCCGTGGTATATATAAAAAGTGAAGGTCGATTAACAACATAATTTTATCAGATTTGATAAGTAAAATATATTAATAAATCAGCTGGCTTTATATTTTGCATGTAATCTAAGAGTGTTTTGAAAATAGAAAAACGAGTCTCTGTGCCTTTTATAAGATATACTAAGATACTCGAGATAGACAATTACAAGACTGGCTAACTTCGCGTATTCTTTTTGATAATTTTTACACTTTCGGGGAGTGTTCAAATATGAACGCACCTCAGCACTTAAAATATGATTATCTATAGGCCTCACTGATTTTATTTTCATTTTGTTCCCTCAAACTATTTACCTCAAACCGATACAATGTATTCAATAATTTAGTGTCCGGGTCCAAAGTTTGAAATATGATAAAGAAGATCAAAAAGGGAAGGCGGTGTTCAATGAACGCAACTCAACACAACCACGCAAAAGAAACAGTGGCGAGGAGCCTAGGTGGACCCCAAACAAAAACAGGACAGGGCACAAGGCAGAGCACGGACAGGCTAATCACTTTGAAGACATATTCATTTTCTTTTTAGGTATCTTTGAAGACCTTATATTGAAAAACCCGGGTTTTGGGGCTGAACAAATTTTGGGCCTGAAAAAATTATTTAGAAATCAAAAGGGGGAAAGGTGGGAAATACAAAGGGATGGAAACCCCAAAAACGATTTTTTTCTGTTTCGGGAATTTTTGCACTATAAACCTTTGTCCCGAGGAGCGCCCTCATGAAAGAAATTTTGACTTTGGGAAAAAACCTGTTTTAAAGTTTTCCCGTTTTTGAAGTATTTTTTTAAATTTTTTTAAAAAAGGTTTTCAGAAAAATTTTTCATAACGATTTCCCCCTTGAACAAAAAACAGCAACCTAAAGGGGGGGGGGGTTGAGTTGCAACAAAAAAGGGCATACACTTCTTCTTTAACTTTTATGAAAATGCATGGGTTTTTTTCCCCAGATTTTGGGGCCCCAGATCATGTTTTTGGCGCTTTCGTATTGGCTTATAAAAATGAACCAATGTTCCTCAACATGGACGACATATACAAAATACTGTGCATTGTAATTTGGTTATTGTTTAAACAACAATCCAGCAACAGAAATGCTTTTTAACCCTATGCCAAGGAAACTACGATTCTTCATATAGGCCAGTATTCCAATGGCATACTCGGATATACAAATCATTTCTATTATTACTGTATACGAGTTGAGTTTGTTATGTGAACTATAAACGCAGATAAAGTGAACAGATTTTGATGGATGCGGTATCAATGTAAAGCTAACATGTATAACTACCCGATAATCTTCATTTCCTCGTGTGTGTGTGTGTGTGTGTGTGTGTGTGTGTGTGTGTGTGTGTGTGTGTGTGTGTGTGTGTGTGCATGCGCGTGTGTGTGTGTACGTGTGTGCGTGTGTGTGTGTGTGTGTGCGTGCTTGTGTGTGTGTATGTTTGTGTGTGTGTGTGCACGCGTGTGTTTTTGATTTTTGTTGTTATCTTTTTGATGTTAATCAACATAATGTTCTTAATGAATTTATATTCAAACATCCTTTTTTTTATTCTATGAACATTTGTTTATTTTCAAAAATATCTAGCTCTACTAAATTTGATCTCATATTTAAAACATACCAATATTTTTCTTTACGATTAGGGTGCCATTATTTTCGGGACCAACCTCAATTGAATTACTCAGGATCTCAGCCAAGGAATCAACTGCCTTTAGCACCCTTGCTAACTCATCTTTGTTCTCCTAGAAAATTGAAATATTTTGCTGTTTCATCACGTATGTTTACATATTTGAAAAAGCCAAACTTGACTCAAATTTAAAAGGGAAATCAATGTACGAGACAATTCTCAGAGGAAATAACAAACATTATGAAATTACAGACGGGCTAATTGACTGCCAGAGGTTATGAGAAATAAAATGAAAGTGCAATACCTTTTTGTTTGATCAGCATTCAGTCTTCTATGTTAAATGTAAATGTTTTCTTTTAAAAACAGAAAATAAAAATAATAGTTTTGTTTGATTGTTTGATCTTTTATTTACATTTTTTTTTCTTTTTTGTAGCAATGAAATTAATGTTATATAGTCACTTATTTAAACTGGATACTTCAATATTATATACAAAGGACGTAGACTCGCCAAATACATACCGACTGAGAAAGAGACTTCCAACTCTCCTGATTGGACTCATCGACAAGATTACTCGCAATTTCTAGGAAAGCCTATCGTAGAAAAACAAAACTGAATTCAACATCGCAAGGATAATTATCCAGTTACACTCTATGAAACAATAATGTTTAAGTAAGTTGAAATAGAGCTAAACCAATCTTACTTTACTGTTTAATATTATTATAATTGCTTCATTAAATAACAATAGTCATACTAATCTGATTTAAATGTCTTGAATGTCTAATAATGAGATCTTGTATGCTACTCATAATAATTTTTACTAGGATTGTATTCATATCATACATCAGTAATGTTTTTGTTTATGATTCCAGAAGATGTTGTCAACACACCCGCTACTGTCTCAAGCGATAAAGATAGAACACTTAATTCGCCATCAGTTAAAGTACTGTTGTTATCAGTTGTTTCATTTACGATTGTTACTTTTAAAATTCCCTGCAAAACAGTATGAACCTCATCTCCGGTTGCAATGTTACTCAGCGTTGATACCTAAGCGTACACAAATAGTCAAATAGCACTTATTTATTTTGTATGGCTTTTAGTCATTTGGTAAACTCCTTCTTTTCTAATGATCTAAAACATAAGGTACCACTTTATTCTGATTAAAGACAATATTTGGCGGCTGGGTAGACCCTCCAACATTCAATAAGCTTACTAGATAGCAAACAAGTAGTGGTGAAAAAATGCTTCAAATTTATTTATATGAACGGTTTGTACAAGGGCTTACTTCAATAAATAAAACACATTATTTTAGTGACATAATAAATGTGGATAGTCTTCAATCTTTAAAAATAATGTCATCAAAATAACAATGAAAGAAACAATAAACACACAAATTATATACGTTTATGTCACTTAACTATAACAAGAATAAAACAGTATTGACACACTAACCGTTTCATTAACTTTTACTATCGATTCACGAACACAATTATATTGTGGCAAGTTCCACTCTCCGCCAGCACAACATGTCCTAGATATTGAACCTAAAATTGTGTTGTAATAATATATATATAATATTAATAAAGCTACAATACTTTTGATTTTAAAGCAAATGTATAAATAACGTTAACAAGATGTTCTAAATCAGCTTATATTTCTATTATGACAGAATTAATATGGATTGCTCTCAATCTTTAAAAAATAACGAAAATATCCGAACAACAATTGAAGTAAGAATAAACAAAGTCATAAACTTTTTTGTTACAGTGAATTTGGATAGTTTTTAATGACATAATACAACGTGTGTCAGTAAAAAGAAGACACTGTAAAATAAACACAAATTTTAAAATGCCTTACTTACAATGACTTTACTTACAATGGTTGAATTATTTTCAAAATAATTCAATAATATCAATAAGAATTTACAATGAATTCTAACACGTATTACTGATACCTGTAAATCCGCTTGGGCAACGTTTATCCTTAGTATTTCCAGATATTGTTTCTGACCAAGTTAGTCCTCTACTGTCTACATTCTCCTTACAAGTTTTAGGTGTTTGCACTTCTACAGGATAATGGAGAGATAATCATATTTAAATTCGTGTAAGAGCTATACTAGTAACAAGATATATCTGAGAATAACGAAAGCAGGTGATTAACGCTCTAGAGTATTAGCAATCACAGACTGTAATTTATCCAGTGATTTTTTTGCATGTTTTTTTGTAGTCAAATATGATATTTTGCAAATGATGGTCGCAGAATTGATTTTATATTTACTATATAAACGTTACTTCCAAGAGGAATCTTTTTTTGGTAATTCGTTACGTTTTTCAATCTTTACAGTTTAATTCGTTTTTGAAACCATTTCTATCAAATTTATTACGATCAAAGTCCTAGCACGTGATCTGTTGCGCCATATTGAACATGCAAGCATATTTTTGATAATATTGATGGTATATATGAGAAATCGTTTACGGGAGCCTGATAAACTGGATTAGCTTACTATCAAATGCTAATAACACCAGACTAGCCTTATGAAAGTTTGGTTGCACAAGTATTTATAAAATGTTTCAATAAAAGTTCTTTACTTAATATATTCAGAAATTTGTATGATCATTTTCAACATATTATCATTATAACAGTATATGATGATGAAAATGTCTATTCATTTTGCTCCTCTTTTAAAAATATACCCACACATGGAACATTCAAATATAAACTTTGAAACAATTTATACTGCCGTGAAAATTAATTATAAATAAATGCAATAAATAAAAATACCTTTCACGCATGTCGGGGAAGTGGAGGACCATGATCCAGTTGATAAACAAAGACCGGATTTGTATGCCATTTAAAATATATCCCTCGTCACAACTGTAAACTGCTTCGTTTTCAAATGTCGTTCCTTCAGGTGTTGATACATTACCGTTTGATGGATTACTGAGAATACCACAATCTTTAAAAGAAAATTACATCAAAATAATACTTCTTTTACCAAATAGTATCTGATAACAATTTTAAAAGTTTCCAACAAAATGACAATTTTACAAAAGTATGAATGTTCAATAATATCCAAATAGTAAATAATATTACCTTTTATAGAGCAAGATGGAACTGGCGCGCTCCAAGAGCCATTATATAAACATGTGCTTGTATTAGCACCATAAATATCATATCCAGCATTACATCTGAAATTTGCCGTTGCTTTGTACTTAGTGCCAGCAGAGTTGTCAATCTCACCATTGCCAAGGGAACCTAATTCTCCACAATCTGAAAATGATTTACAAATGTGACAAGTTTGTTGGTATTTTACAAATCATTTTCTTAAAGTAAGACGCTTCAAGCACAAACAAATTTTGCTATATAAAATGTTCAATCACCTCTAGTATTTCATCCATGGTTCCCAACACTGTAGGACAAACTTCAGTACACAACTTACGAAATGCAACACTAGAAGTATTTTATGTCAAACCCGACTCTTATATATCAGTGCGGTGCAAGTTATGTCATACTGTTTAAAAATGAGTAAAATCATGGTGTCCGTATACTTGGTTCCCGTACTATTAGTTACGTACATTTGGTCCCCGTATAACAAACGAGTTAAATTCGCGATATTATCTACAAACTTAGAGCTATTTGTGACCATTAAGCCATGTTGATTTCTGTGTCGTCATTTATTCATCGTCTATTCAGAAGCAAGGTTTCATTTTTCAGCTGTCATGGAGTAAAAATCGATAGACAAATGTGAATTTGTAGAAACTTACGCGAATGTTATTCGATTATAGCTGTTCTCAGTTTGACAGTGTTTGTATTCGCCGTATAAAATAATATTTGTTTGAATATATAGTCCTGTTTGGTAATGATTCCTCGATGACTTTACAGTTTTAGTCTTTGAGTTATGCATGTTTATGATTTACGAATTAGCGTTCGAGTTCGGACACTTCTGCGTAAATAAAAATTTCCATAGATTTAGATACGATTAAAGTATATATTTTTGTTTGTACATGCCTTTTCCCATATTTTGCAACAGAAGCAAGAAATTAATATTAAAAAACGGCTCCACAGTAACACGCGCTTGTGAAAATTATCATTATGTCGAGTTCTTCCCCTTATCTACACTATATATTTTTAAGAGTTGATTTTTTTCCATACATATATCCATATTTAGAAAAGACTTCAAGAAAAAAATAAATTGACATAATAAAACAAATACATCCAAGTATGTGCCGTTCCCCTTGTTGAATACTACGGATTTATGCATTTTAAATTGTATCCTAAAGTAAGTGAAAATATATTTCTAGCTCCACTGATTGAGCTGTTTAAATTTTTCAGATCTTAAAATTAAAAATAAAAAGATGTTCCAGTTTCCATAATGTCTCATAACCCTGTTGTATAAACGGAGGATATTGAATGATTGTACACTATGTACATGTTTTATATTGCGAGCAAGGAATTATTTTAGTTTAAACAATATTTTATTAATAATCCACACATTTACATAATAAATTACATAAAATAAAATTTACGGATTGAGTAGGAAGCTTGTAAAGCTTTTTTGAAAACTCTCTCCGTAATCAGTATTTAACAAATTTCAAATAAATGGTAACAAAATATAAATATCTAAACTAAACTATACATATCATATCGACTTGTTCTTGATTTCTTACTATACATACTATGTTTATGTCAAGTATTCATGAACTAAATTTAAGATACATTGCTGTTAGATTAGAGGTATAAGCACGAGTATGAATTCATTTTTAAAGGGATATATTATTTAGTTTAGTGATTGGTTAATTAAACTAATATGTTGAGAAATTTAATTATTAAAACATGTACATTGGAGGAGAAGTAATAATAGAAGAGAAAAATAGATAAGGAACAAGAGAAAGAAAGAAAGTCACTTTACTACTATGGAGTTGGAGGACCTTTTTCTTTTCAAACGAATATTATTATGTATCAAATCTTTTTGTTTTTTGTATGTATTTATGTATATGTGATATAATTGTTTCGTTTTGAGCACCGGTAAGTGAATTATCACCGTATAGTAAATTATTCAATGTTACAGTTGTGATTTGACTTAAATTGTTTATAAGGACAGTGCGGTCATCTTGATACATGGGGCAGCGGAGGAAATAGTGTTCTGTATTTTCTATTTCACCACATATACAAAAAGGGCTGTCTATTATGTTTTTAGAAAACAGATGTTCTTTCAGAGAGCTGCAATGTGTTCTTAATCGTGTATGTATTATTTGATATCTTCTTTCACCTATATAATAGTGAGCTGGAACTTTTTGGACATCTTCATTTAGTCTTTTTTTGAAAATTGCAAGCGATGGTGCATTTCTTAGTTCGACAGGGAGATCATTCCAGTCTTTAATCGAAGATGGTAAGAATGAATTTGAATAAAGTTGAGTTTGACAGAAAATATTTCTAGTGTTACTTGCATTTCGTAAGTTGTATACTGAAGTTTGTCCTACTGTGTTTGGAACTATGGAAGATAGATATTGTGGAGATAGGTGATTAAACATTTTATATAGCAGAATTAGTTTGTGTTTATAGCGTCTTACTTTTAGGGGTTGAAAACATGTGTCTTCATACAGATTTGAGAAAGAAACAAGTTTCGTTGTACCAGTTATAATTCTGCAAGCTTCAAGTTGGATTTTTTCTAACTCGAATTCATCTTGTTGAGTAATATTATCCCAGACTACATCTGAGTATTCAAGAAGAGGCCGGATGAAAGAAAGATATATAGTTTCGAGTGATCTACGATCAGTGATAAATTTTAAAGACCTCATAATATTAAGTCGTTGCCATGCCTTTTGTGATATGTTCATTATATGGGTATGCCAAGTTCCTTCAGATGAAAAAGTTACTCCAAGATGTTTGTGAGTGGTCACCTCATTTATTTGTATTCCGTTCATACTAAGGGGAGGATGAACAGGTTTATTGACCTTACGGGAAAAAATGACAGATTCAGTTTTATTTGGATTGAAAGTGACAAGCCATCTGTTTGCCCATACAGTAATTTTCTCGAGATCTAAGTTTAGTGTTGCAGCAGCGGTAGCAGGATTGTCAACGATAATATACAAACTTGTATCATCTGCAAAGAGTCTGATATATGAATTTATGTCAAGGACAATATCGTTGATATATATGAGGAAAAGAAGCGGACCTAATATAGACCCTTGTGGTACTCCAGCTGTGATAGAAGCCATTTGTGATGAGCCGCCAGGAAGAACTACTTTTTGTTTTCTTTCAGAAAGATAATCGCGAAACCAATTTAATAACACACCATTTATTCCAGTAGACTCAAGCTTAGAAATGAGACCTTTGTGCCAAACACGATCAAAAGCTTTGGATATATCACAGAAAACAGCTCTTACTACTTTGCCATCATCAAGGGCTTTACAAAATGTGTTATATATAGAGACAAGTTGATTAGTCGTAGAGTCGTTTGGAACAAAACCAGATTGCAATGCAGTTATTTTGTTATTTGAGACAAAGAAGTTGAAAATGTGTTTGTGTATAATTTTTTCTAAAGTTTTACTAACTGTGCTGAGGAGTGATATTGGTCTATAGTTAGAAACAATTGTTGGGTCTCCTTTCTTATATACTGCACAGACATTGGCAAGCTTCCATTGTGACGGGACTTTTGAAGTTCTAATTGATTTATTAAATAGACGACATAGAGGTACAGCAAGTTCTCCTGACAGTTCCTTGAGAATTCTGTTATTAATATTATCAGGCCCTGATGCTTTGCCTACACTTAGAGTTTTTAGAGTGTCCTGAACCTCTTCATATGTAATATGTATTATATCAAGATAATTATTGTTATTATTATTATGATTAATATCAGAGTTAGGGACAGGTTTATTCTTATCATCAAGTGAGGATTGCAATTGGAAAAAATTATTTAGTAAGTTTGCCTTTTCAGTGTCAGATGTCAACAAGTTGCCATTGTCATTTAATATTTTAACATTACTATTTACTGCTGGCCTAATAAATTGTTTGAGGATTTTCCAGTAATCTGATGTGTTTAGATTTTGATTTCTTAATTTTTCCGACAGTTTTTTGATATGTTCAGATTTAGCATTTCTAAGTAAGTGAGTTGTTTTGTTTCTTAATGTTTTATATTTATTCCAGTGTTCTTCATTATTTGATTTTTTAGCTTTATCATACGCTCTTTTCCTTTTTCTTATACATTTTCTTATTTCGTTATGCATCCATGGAGGATCTGATTGTCTAATTGTTACTGTTTTGTTTGGGATGTGTTTCTTTGATAATGATATAATTGTCTGTGTTATATTGTTTGCATAGGTATCAATATCATTATTTTCTAGAGAATCCCAGTTATATGCAGCTGCATCACGCCTCATATTGTCAAAATTACATTGGTCATATTTCCAGACAAGACGTTTAAATGATTTAGCATGTGGTTTGTTGCAGTGAAGTAAGCAATAAACTGGACAGTGATATCTTTGTTGTTGATCAAGAAAAGGGTCACCAACACCTGATGTATTGACACTACACTCAGAAGAAACAAGGTAAACGTCGATAAGAGAAGAGGATGATTCGGTAAAATGTGTTGGTTCGTTTATAATTTGTGACATATTGTACTGAGTGGCTATATCTAACAATTTTTTAGATGTTGCTGGTTTTAATAAATCTAGATTAAGATCTCCTGTAACAACTATGTTTTTAATGTCAGTATCAAAGGCAAGGTCAATTGAACGTTCAATATTTGATAACACGTGTGAAGGTGAATTTGGAGGTCGATAAAAAGTACCAATGAGGAATTTTGTATGATGAATTCTTAGTTCTACCCAAACACATTCAACACCACTTATCTCAAGGTCTTGCCTTCTTATGGCTGGAATATTACTTTTGACATACACCAGAATTCCACCGTGATTATCAACAATCCTGTCTTTTCTGAAAGGTGAGGAAAAATTTTCAAAAGAGATCGAATCAGATTCTATATTGTTGCTAAGCCACGTTTCTGTAAAGGAGATGACGTCGAAGTGCTGTAGTTCCCCTTGTAAAATGTCTCTTTTGTGGAAAAAACTCTGTACGTTATAATGAACCAAAGATAATGAATTTTGAAGCTATCTAAGATATCATTTACACTTGATGTAGAAGATGAAGAATAAGAAAACTCAGAGCTATTTGAGTCGGGTCCGGGATTTGTATGGATATCACCTGATCTTTGCAGAAGAATATATGCCCAAAGTTTAAAAGACAGGAATACAATAACACCAAAAGAAATA